AAAAAAAAAAAAAAAAAAAAAAAAAAAAAAAAAAATAGCTGAAGCTTGAGAGTAGGAGTGACTGTGACAGTTCTTTGGGGCTGAATTAGACTCATAAGCTTGGCTTCCACATCCTTGTGTTGGACCTTGAGCCACACTTTTCTTAATGAGTGGCTTTTGAGCTGTTATTTCAGTCAGTCTGGACAGTTGCAGAGCACTGATGAGGAAGTTGTGTCATTGAGCACAGTGGTACCACCTGTAGCCTCACCTTCTTGGGAGACCGAGGCAGGAGAATGGCTTGAACTAGGGTTTGAAGACCAGCCTGGGCAATATAGTGAGACCCTGTCTGAAAATGAAATAGGAGCATGCATTAAAAGCTCTTAATCCACCAGGTGCAGTGACACCGTGTAATCCCAGCTGCTCAGGAGGCTGTGGCCAGAGGATTGGAACTTCAGGGCCACCATGGGCATCACTATAAGACCTGTTTTAGCCTGAGTCGAGAAGGCTGAGGAGATGGTGCCGCCAGAGAGCCTTGCTGGGCGTGCCTGAAGTCCTGCGCCCGGCCTCAGTAACCCGTGCTGCTGAGCTGGGTCCCTGTGGTCTGCACCCTAGGACTGGAGGCCGGTGCCAGCGTCAGACAGTGGCCTGGGTGTTCTTGCCCCGTAGAAGGGAACGGTCAGGCTATGGCGGCCCCTGAGTCCTCCGAGTCAGGGCTACATGGTTTTTTTATTTAAACACAGGATGTTTAAATAGATGCCTCGTCTGAGTGAAGCGTGTCTTCCTCACCTCGTCCGGGAGAGCAGCCCAGGAGACTGCAGTGTTCACAGGCTGGGCCAGTCCTCATTGATGTCTGCAGACCTCTCTCACTTCTCTCTCTACAGTCACGAGCTGTGTTCCTCTGTCCCGTAGCCATCACCATTGTTCATGCTTGGAGGCCCCAGCTTGCTTCCCAGATTGGTAACCAGAGCAGTGACTCCTGAGAGTGGCACCTTAGGGCCAGGTGTGATGGGGCATGGCTGCTATCCCAGGATTCTTGGAGGCTGAGGCAGGAGGACTGCATGTTGACACCCAGCCTGGGCAATTAGCAATTTAGTGAGATGAATACGAAAATATAAAAGGGCTGGGGATGTAGCACAGTGCCGAGGTCCTGGGTGCAATCCCTAGTATGACCAAAAAAAAAAAAGTGATACCTTAGGACGAAGAGAAGCGTTTGTTTGTGTAAAGGGTTCTGGGTAGCGAAGGGCTTAGCTCTGTTAAATCAGAGTTGCAGTATTACATGGTGGTTATTTTTGTTTCTCAATTTATATTTGAAAGGAAATTGGGTTTTTTTTTTTTTTTTTTGGTTCTGGGAATTGAACTCAGGTCGTTGCGCTTGCAAGGCAGGTGGCGGCACAACTGGGCTAAATCCCTGAAAGGATATGGAATCTTTTGTCTTCTCTTGGTGCTCAGTAATTAAAAACTGGCATTGATAACATATTTTCCTCAAATTGGGGTTATCCTGGATTCTACAAAGTGAACCAAAGGGCTTCTTTTGCAATTTGTTCTTGTGGGTCCTTAGGTTCTGATTCTGTCGCTTGATTTCTTTTTTTCTTTTTTTTTTCCTGTGAGACAGGATCTTGCCATATAGTTCAGGCTGGCCTTGAACTCACTATGTAGCCCAGGCTGGCCTTTGTGGTCATCCTTCTGCCTCAGCCTCCAGAGTGTTGGGTGACAGGGGTTTGCCACTGCACCCAGTTTAGAACACTTTGGTAACTAAAGCAGTGTTGTCTGATAAGCTGAGTAGTCTCTGCAGTGCACTGTTTAGATAACAGCTATTTATCTATCGAAGTCTGTGTGCCAAGTGACAAACTTCCGAGTCACTGGGTTGTAAATCTAGGTGGGGAGGTAAAATACAAGGGTGGAGGGAGAAGCAGGGGTGTGGAGAGTGCACCTCTGTTTTTATCAGGGCTGTGACTTTAGTCCATAGCCCATGGCCCAGTTTCCTCACCTGCGAAGTGGGGATAATACCGCATACTTCTGTCAGGCGTGGCGGCACACGCCTGTTACCTAGCCTGACACTCAGGAGGCTGAGGCAGGAAGATTGCCAAGTCTGAGGCCAGCCTGGGCTACACAGAGCCTGTCTCAAAAAGAAAAAAAAAGCCCACATGCTTTGTGGGGTAGCTGTAAGGGTTTTTATAGATGAAATGTATAGTGAGACGCCAGGATCAATAGTTTGTCTGCAGTGATAGCTGCTGCTGCTGCTCCTGAAGAGCCTGCAGACAAACTAGCATCGTGTGAGACCCAGGGGGTCTGCCCAGGGCCTCAGGGAGGGAAACTGCCTGTAAATGGGGGGTGGGATGAGGTGGGAGCTTTTCTGTTGGCGGTGAGATGTGGCCCTCGGCGGTGCTGTCCCTGGTTCCTGTGACAGACTGGTTCCCAGGCACCGTGAGAGGCCCGGGCTCCCCAAGCAGTGCGGCCATCACCGGATGTATATCGCCGGCCGCCATGTGCCAGAACCACTCGCTTCGGTCCATGTGTCGCCCCCCCCCACACGCCTCAGTGACAGTGCCTCTGCTGTGGCGGTGGGGGCAGAAGAGGGAGCCACAGAACCGGGCCCAGGTACTTGGGCCTCTCAGCCCTGCGTGGGGCTCGTGCACTGGTAAGGCCACCAGACATCAATCTGGGGAAAAGGCAGCTCTGAGCCAGGGTGCAGACACCGTGCGGGCACAAGGGCAGCACTTGATGCACCCCACGAGGGGAGAGAAAGTGCATGCTCCAGGCCCCGGGTGTGGGACACGCAGCCTCCTGGAGGGCCCGGGAGCTGTGGCTGCCGAATGCAACAGGGCGCGAGATTAGAAGCACTGGGAAGGCTTTTGCAGAACAGGCTGGGTGAGAGAGAGTTCTGCAGTAGAATTGTGGAGGAAGGAGAAAAGGCAGCAAGAATAGATGGGGGGGTGCCCGCCTGTAGTGACAGCTCCTTGGGAGGCCGAGGCAGGAGGATGGAGGAGGGCAGCCTGAGCAACTTAGGAGGACCCCGTGTCAACACAGAACATTACAGAGTGCTTGCTGAGCACATGCAAGGTCCAGAAGGGTAGGAGGGTAGAGTGCTTTCCCTCCCGCCTTTGTGGGTTTGCCGTGCACGTGTGCGCATGTGTGTGTGACTGGGGACTGAACCTAGAACCTTCGCACTGAGTGACCTCGCTGGCCCAGGCCTCGTCTCCCACTGCTGCCCAGGATAGGCTGAGCCTGTGACCTTCTGCCTCAGCTCCTGGTGCTGGGGCCCGAGGCCGGTGGGTCAGTGCGTCCCTGCACTGGCCAAGGCTAGGGCTCTTGACTGGAACGAGGCACGTGAGGAGCGGACCCAGGTTTGCCCTCAGTTCGCCGCCTGGGAAGAGAGATGTCCAGGAACCTGGCGTCGCATGGCCGTCCCGGGGAAGCCCCTCGCCTCGGCCCCTCGGCCCTGCC